TTACACTACACATACACAGTACACACTACCAGTCTGTAAGATTCTTTAATGATTTTGAAAGAAGTCTCTTAGGCTATGTTCTAGACTGCCAGGAAAAATTTGATTTTTTTGCATATCCATATTTTATCCAAGTGTGGACAGCAATAAAAAAAAAAAAAACACAACAAAAAAAAAAACACATGAAATGACATTTGGAGGTGGTTTGAAATGCGATTCCAGTCAGGTTTTTACAGATGCATCTCGGTCTAGATGCTCTGGCTGCTCAAATCAGATTTCAAATGGTCTTTTGCGTCACTTAACGCAACACACAATGATAATGTCAAAACCAGTGACGGAAATGCAGAGGATTCATACAGTGACTACAGCATGGAACATCACAATATATATACCAGTTTTCTTGTGCGACAAAGGAGTTCTGTACCGCAACAAAAAAAGGTTGCTTATTTGGAGAGCAAGATGAAGCACCTCCATTTTTTTTTGCATTCCTTTTGAAAGCCTTGTCACATACGTGGGTGCACCTATATTACCAAAGAAACCCATGCAGATAGATTGGTTATGTCTAGATACACAAATCTGATTTGATCACTTGCAATAAGTAGTTAACTGTATTTTAATATATTTTGAATTAATATAAGTTGAATTTTCAGCAGACATTACTCTAGTCTTCAGTGTCACATGATCCTTCAGAAACCATTATGATATGATTTGGTGCTCAAGAAAAAAAAAAATTTCAGTGTTGAAAAACATTGCTGCTTAATATTTTTGTGGAAACTGTTATACATTTCATAAGGATTCTTCGAATAGAAAATTTGAAACAGAAATCTTTTGTGACATTAAAAATGTCTTTACTGTTACTTTTGATGCATTCTTGGCAAATAAAATGATTTCTTTCAAAATGAAAAACTCTTGAATGGTAACAAATTTGTCAAGCTCATAAAAGCACATTTTTACATGAAAGAAACTAAAATCTTATCAGGACATTGGAAATAAGTATTAAAAACATGTACAGTACAGTCACACTGAGCCATGTTTTCCACGTTCCAGGTTTCATTCCTCCACCTCTGATCTTCGGCGTCGGGATTGACTCCACCTGCCTACTATGGAGCTCCGTATGTGGCATTAAAGGGGCCTGCATGCTTTACGACAACATAACCTACCGTTACCTTTACGTCAGCATCGCTATCGTTCTCAAATCCAGCGCCTTCATTCTCTATGCCGTCACCTGGCAGTGTCTGCGTCAGAACTACTCCAGGTACATTAAGAACTGTGAGGACTACCTGACCCCAAGCCAGCTGTTCGCCTCCAACCTCACCCTGGACAACCTGGGCAAGGACATTGCACAGAACCCTTCCAACCGCACCAAGTTCATTTACAACCTAGATGACCACGCCTGGAGCGAGAACATGGAGTCAGCCATATAGTCCCACCCCAAAGAGGGCCAGCCGGCCTATATGCACATGCTAATTTAGTCTCGTGTATCGCTTTTATTCAAAAGAAAGTCCATATATAAGCCGATTTCTGCACATTCCCGCTGCCTGGGAGAAATAGGCACTCTTTTAGCATATCCAGGGTGTTTTGACTAAACAGAGCCAAATGAATTTGACTGTTACTGTAGTCAGGACTTGTATGATATGTGGAGATGAAACGCATCCATCATATTAGGGGATGTGCTAGGTTGCAGTTCCAAAACTGAACAATTAATCTTCCATAAGTCAAAACTAGCCCCAGCTTACATATACAAGCACCTTTTTAGGTTTCATTTTGAATGGTCTTTTTAGTATTTTTTTAAGAAATGTAAAGAATATTAGCATATAAGTTCTAACAGATATTAGCTAATACGTTTACTTGAATATTGTGAGGCTATGGAAATTTCGGTCTATTTTTATGGAGGGTCTTAGAAAGCTTGATGTTATTGCTCGATATCTCCTCTGTACAGGCATTAGACTATTAAAAACGTAGATACAAGTGCAGAGTTCACACGCGTCATGTAACCTATTAATCAACCTAAAAACATAATAGTGAACATTTTAGGCCCATGTCTGTGAAAAAAAACGTATAGCTTGAATCATTCGTTTTGTGATGCTTCGTTATTTGTCACCTGCAGTGATTTAAACTAAAGCAACATGCAACATTAATCAATGGTTGCTATCAAGCAGAGGACATTGAAGGATGGAAGGATGGATTTATTTCAATGCATGCAGGTATTGCATGTTGATGCATCAGAGCAGGCGCATGGGAACTTTAAGAGATAAATAGTTTTGGTGAGGGTAGACATTTCCCTTCTATTACTCCGGCATCTTCTTAAGTGGTGTTTTATAATAGTATTACGGCACCTTGTGTACTTTTTTCTTCCAATCTGTCATCAATGTGTTCAAGGAAATTCGCTTGGAAGACCAAATGCTAGGATTAACAAAGTTTTACGTTGTAAAACTTTTTTTTTCTTTAATGTTGCAATATACGAAGCAAGTAAATAAACATAAAGAAATGATTTATGAACTACTAAAACATCAATCTGAGTTACATAAAATAATAATGAACAAAAAGGACTTATTTCAAACATTTTTGTATGACATTGGACCTATGAATTTGTTTAATATACTTATGAATTATTTTCTATGCTTTTTATTAAAAACAACAAAAAAAAGACATGTAAAAAAAAAACACAAGGGGACAGGGCAGGAAGGTGGTAGATCTATGGTAATGTAATAAAGCTAAATGCTCTTTATAGAGGAAAATTATTTGTTTTTCTGCTGCTTTTCAAAGACGGTTTACTGGATGCAAGTACACTGAAGAGACCCACATAGGGCAAAACCCAAACCCATTATCAACCGTCATGTAAATGGCTTCCCAAGCACATTATTTTAATGCACTGCAATATACGCCGAAACGCTTGATTGCTTGAATGTTGAGGCTGGTGTCAATATAAATAGGATGATATAAGAATGATGTCATTGTTTATATAATCATTCCTCTCTATAGATAATTCATTGCCGTAAAAGTGCCAAAGTGATGCCATTTAAGTGTTCTCTCCGAGAGGCATTTTCATAATGCTGGAATTGTATATTACCGCGAGATGCTTTATTGTATTGTACGTAGACATATGTGATATCTTAAGCAACCATTACACCTTGTACATAGTGACATTTAAGTCTATTCTCTCCAGAATGTAGAACATAGCGATGCTTTAGGCTTTTACAGGTGATGTTACAAGTCTAAACTTTGGACAAAATATATATTATTGTTAAATGCAGATGGAGATTATGTTATGCTTACAGAGGAATGTTGTGGTATATTTTTCTACCCATGTCTGTATTATGAAGCTTATGTGTAATGACCATAAAAGGTGTACGAGTTTAAAAAAAATTACATGAACAACTATCTGCACTAAAGCATTGTCTCTGCATTTTTATTATGAAACTCAACAATTCTTTTCTCTGTTGACCAAGCGAAGGTCTCTGCACATAAAGCATCACAGAACAGGATTATAGCAAATTAATATGAAACTGAATTATTTACAAGCACCTTTGTGCTTTACTTCAAACTTTGGCGATTCGGAAGGCTGTCTTCAGATTATGTAATATGCTTCACAACACGTCTAGATGTATCTTGCACTTGTTTTCTATCTTAAGGCAAACAGGTCTGTCGATGCATTCTTTTTGAAACCCCAAAGTCAGCATCATAGATTTTTTTTGCTAATATCATACCACACAAATGTGCAGAATAAGTGCAGCATTAGTAGGTTGTTCTCATTTACACAGCTGAATATGTTAGCCTCTTTAGAATTAATAGTACATACTGGATTGAAAACATTCACCTTGCTTTTTCACCTTGAAAATTGTGTTTAAATCCATACTGTAATCCACCAATTAAGACAGTGATTTCCCCTCGAGTGCAGGGGGCTCTAAAAAATACACGCAACTATATACACATTTGCTTTAAATCGGTTTTCTTTACTCAGGCTGTATTCAGTTTTACAAGCATGACCTCAAATGTCTGCAGCATCTAAAAGGCTTTACTTAGTTTTCACAGTAGCATGCAAGGAATTTAAAATTGCTTTAAAAAAAAGGTACCGATACATTTGAGTCTCGAACTACTTTTTCATTGTGTTCTTACTAATAATACATTATGGGCTTATGTGTTGAAATGTGTTGCGTTTATTTGCAGTGTTCATGCAAACACACAAAATATTTCAATAGTGCAGTAACACATGAAGCACCACTTGCACAGAAGTCTTACACAGCTGAATATGTTAGCCTCTTTAGAATTAATAGTACATACTGGATTGAAAACATTCACCTTGCTTTTTCACCTTGAAAATTGTGTTTAAATCCATACTGTAATCCACCAATTAAGACAGTGATTTCCCCTCGAGTGCAGGGGGCTCTAAAAAATACACGCAACTATATACACATTTGCTTTAAATCGGTTTTCTTTACTCAGGCTGTATTCAGTTTTACAAGCATGACCTCAAATGTCTGCAGCATCTAAAAGGCTTTACTTAGTTTTCACAGTAGCATGCAAGGAATTTAAAATTGCTTTAAAAAAAGGTACCGATACAGTCTCGAGTCTCGAACTACTTTTTCATTGTGTTCTTACTAATAATACATTATGGGCTTATGTGTTGAAATTTGTTGCGTTTATTTGCAGTGTTCATGCAAACACACAAAATATTTCAATAGTGCAGTAACACATGAAGCACCACTTGCACAGAAGTCGGTTTCAGATCAAGCAATTTTCAGTCGGTCAACGTGGCAAATTTGAAAAGGAGCAAGATCTGCTTAGAGAACTTTTGTCCTCACACAAAACTCTTGATCACATGGATTCCTATTTAAAAGACTGGATTTCAACTATGCAATTTGACCACACATTTACGCGGTTGTTTTTGCAGTTATAAGTGATTGACTTCTATGGTAAATCTTTGAATAAAAAAAAAATTAAAATCAAATGAATAAAGCATATCAATCATAAAAAAATAAAAATAAAGTCACTAGACTACTAAATATTTTTGGGAATTTCTTTCATATGAAAGTTCTCCTTTATTGTTGACAAGTGTTTACAAAAAACAAGTAGTGCATTTCAAAGAAATGAAAACAAAGAAATCCAAATGTATTCACTAGGAAAATAACCACCTGAAGCCTACATAAATACTTCACTCCAAAGTGTGCTTGTGTGAGCACACATTTATTTAAGTGCCAAGTGAAAAGTCCACTCAGGTTCAGTCATGAAGCTCAGTACTTTGCCTCATTATGGACTCTTTTGACTGAGCTTCGCGTTTGGAGATTGAGGAGTGTGTGTGTGTGTGTGTGTGTCTCAGTAGTCCAATGGGGCCATAAGTAGTTGTAGCTCTTTGAAAGTGCTGCCATGACGACCAACCTGCTCTGCCCGGTTCTTCACTACATTACTGAGGTTCTTCAGCTGCTTATAGCATGCTTTACATTTCTGATGCCTGAAAAACACAGTACAACAGTCCCATAAAAACCAAGTCCCATGAAGAAGAAAAAAAAAACACTGCTTAATCTGCATCTATTGGCTCATTAAAAGGCAAAATGTAACATTTTAATTAAACACATTATTGGCCATGGGCAGAGTAGAACTAAGATTTGACTAAACTTAGGGTCACCAGTAGATCAGCCAGCACACATTTAACGCAGAATAAAACTTTGATACATGGTTTAAGTTCTCATTTAAACAAACAGCCACTGTTGGGTGCTGTAGTCAAGGAATGTAAACTAACACAGATAAGCCTGACTCAGGTTAAAAAAAATATTTAAAAAGAAATAACACCACACATCATGGGTGTTTGTTAGGTACTAACCTCTCCTCTCGAGTAATGTCCACTCCTACTGATGGAGGAGCAGTCAACGTGTCCGAGATTAATGGCCAGAAACGCTTCAGAATCAGTTTTAAAGCCATACAACCAGTCTGTACATAACTGTAGAAAGACAGGGAGAATGGGTTACTTGATCACGGCATTTGTACATGACTGATAAATGGCCATCTCAAAACCTTGCACCGTTTATTTCCATAAATGTACTGTCGCCAAAGCGATCAAAATAGATTCTAAACAACCGATCTGAAAAGCTCACCAAGCAGGAAACTCATTAACAGCCAGTCAAGTGCTCCCGAGACATAACGCTCACCCGATTCTGATGTTAACATGAAGCATAAATTTAAATAAAATGCACCCAATTTTACCCATGTGCGATGGAACAATTTTCATTTAATGTCTTAATAGTAGAAAGCAGCTTAATAAAATGGTTTAGTAAAATTATAAGTATATAAATACAATTTATAGATATAAAAATCTATGGTCCTAAAGGTGTTAAAACGCATCACACTCCGCTCCGTCAAAATAACCTTCAGAGTAGGGCTGGACAATATGGCCAAAAAAAAATCTATTTTTCATATCAGTTGATACCGATAATTAAAACAATACATTTCAAATCTTTTTTTTCCTTTCAAGTTTAAAGGCAGATTTTTTTATCCAAAGTGAAAGCTGTAGAAACCAGACTGTTAATTGCGGTTTTACGCTTTATGGTCAGAACATGACAAACATTTTTTTACACTTTTCTAGTCATTTTTCCTTACATTTTTTTTAGCTTCTGAATGTTGTAATGAGTGATAGTTTCAAACATGAAACAGGTTTGTGTTGCCCGACTTTGATGACGTGCATCTTCAGCACAGTTTGCAGTGCAGGCTGCAATATTATTAAATTTTTTGTATCAGAGAAATGCACATTTGACAGCAGTAGTAGCTTGAGTCTAAATACATTTAGTGTAAATGCACAAACGCTATAGCTTAATCAGAAAATACTGTGATTATATCCATTACTCCTTTAATACACGTCTATCAATAATATGATAAATCACACATTTCTGCCACAAAAGCATGGTGCAATTAGTAAATCCATTAACGTTATTGTTTTATCACCCAGCCCTACTTTAGAGACCATTATTACTATAGACATAGATCGGTCATAACCATTAATAAGTCACCTTTCATATTTGCTCTGCAGCAATTCCTCAATCTGTGGCAAGATGGATGTGCAGAGGTCCAATTTCCACAGTGATCTGAAAGAGAATAACTTCTCTTATTATAACTTCCGCTAAAATGATGGTGGGACAGACGTAGTGAGTGATGTGTGTGTGGACGCTTACGGTTTGAGGTTGATTATGTTAAGGATGTCCACCACAATAGAAAGATCATTCATAGATACAGCTGAATCCAGCGAAGTCTGGGCAACATGAAGGGAAATGCAAACACTGCTTTTAGTGTACTGCTGCTTTCAATAATAGCCCATTACAGCATTTACTAGATTACATTAGAAATACATTTTCGATGTGTAGCAGTAAATGTATCCATCAGCCAGTAACAGATCTCCCATTACAATCTGTCTGTCCCACAGTTTATCAAAGCTCATCAGCTTGAGTGCTGTTGCACTTACCTTGACATCTCCACTGGCCCAGACGGAGCGTACTGTGTCCAGGTTTTTATATCGACTGGTCAGCATTACGCACATGGTGTCATGGCCTTTCCGGATCTGTGCTAATGCCTCATCATCTCCCATCACACCGGCTTTGGCGTTCCGTGCATGCTGTTAAAACAGACACATTACTCCGAAACACTCAGCATTTTACATACTGGTACGTAAGCGGTCAGTACAGTACCCTTTTAAAAAGGAACCAATGTGCATTTTAAGTATTATGATCCCTTAAGGTACTAACATGGACTCTTTAGGGCTAAATAAAGTTGCTTTCGCACAGCATAGTTCTAGGAACTAGCCAGCATGGTGGATAAATTGCATAATATATCGATGCGGAGAAAATGTATAAAACAGATAGTTCCGGTCCTTGATTCTGATTGGTTGAGCCGCGTTCAAAGCTGTTGTAAATTACTCTACGAACTATACACCTTTGTTTACTTTGTGTGTTGCTTGGCAACCACTTTGTTGCAACCACAACTGTTTCTGAGGAACTACATTGTTTGGTGGAAGAACACCGTTTTTATTAATATAATTACACTTTATTTGCTCCATTTTACTATCAGTGTTTTTTTCACCGTTTTATAAAAGCAATAAGCCCCGTGAAGCCATGGTTTACAGTGAATTTATAACAGCAGTGTTATACTCTGCTTCGCGTCATGCCTAAAAACGCCCCTTAGCCATTATAAATTCACTGTAAACCACGGCTTATTGCTTTAGCAGACAACAGGTAAATGCCGTTATCGGCGTTTTCCATGTTCGTGGAGTAAATATTTTTACACAGCTTTTAAAAAAATGCCAGGCAGCTGGTGTTTCATATGCGTTTGGCCAATCAGCCTACACTTACGTCACTGGTAGTTCCTATAGCACTGTTTTAGACCCTACTCTGAAGTAGGAGTTAATTCAGTTCCTCCAAATAGAGTTGCTAGAACTAAATACATTCCTAGTTCCTGTGGTGCGAACACGCCAAAAAGCGGGAACTACTGCCAATAGTTCTAGGAACTATGAAAAGGTTCCTCCGGAGCGAAAGCACCTTAACGCACAAATGAATAGCACCCTGGACTGGTGACAGCTGACTCTGGCTATAATAACAAACATGCACAGTATAACCTAGCACACTTTGTTTTTAGTATTTTTTTAATGAGATGAATTGAGAGTGATGAAATATTTTGCTTTAACAAAGCCACACATGGATTCATTTAGGGTTATGAACATCACCATAGAAACAGAAAATTATCAAAAGGACGTGAACAGCTCCAGCAGCTCTATCTAATAATTATAGCAATTCAGACACGACATGAATGCAGCATAATACAAAAGTGAATCATCTTAAGTGAACAATAGTGCTAGACAGTAACATTAAACATCCATTGAACTCACAGAAAGGAAGTCCCCTGCAGTGAGGCCAATTGGCTCGTTACGTGTCGAGAGGATGATTCCTGTAGAAGGTTTAGATTTGGTGGCCGTAACCACAGGACGAGAGGGAGAGGTCACTGATGTACAGTATAACCTAGCACACTTTGTTTTTAGTATTTTTTTAATGAGACGAATTGAGAGTGATGAAATATTTTGCTTTAACAAAGCCACACATGGATTCATTTAGGGTTATGAACATCACCATAGAAACAGAAAATTATCAAAAGGACGTGAACAGCTCCAGCAGCTCCAAGAATCTCTATCTAATAATTATAGCAATTCAGACACGACATGAATGCAGCATAATACAAAAGTGAATCATCTTAAGTGAACAATAGTGCTAGACCGTAACATTAAACATCCATTGAACTCACAGAAAGGAAGTCCCCTGCAGTGAGGCCAATTGGCTCGTTACGTGTCGAGAGGATGATTCCTGTAGAAGGTTTAGATTTGGTGGCCGTAACCACAGGACGAGAGGGAGAGGGAATTCAGTGATCATCTTGCCTGCTATCAGATCCCACAGCTAAATGGGGAACAGAATATGCATACACATGAAAAAAAAAATTCCTCTTCATTCATCCAGGCAAGATAACGTCCCAAAGCGAGATGTACAGCACAGCTCTCACCTTTACTGTGCTGTCATCACTGGCTGAAGCAAGCCATTTCCCATCAGGACTGAAGGCTAGACAGCGCACAGCCTGAGTGTGACCCTGCCAAGAGACGCATTCATATTAACCACATAAACAAGGCCATCACATTCATTAAGAGCTTGTGCATGTGTAACAGATAAGAGACACTTTCCAAACTAAAGTGCTTTAATGGGACTTATGAAGATGTTTTTGTGTTTAATGCCTTTTAAACAAAATAAATATCAAGACTTTTAAAGCTAAAGTGCATAAACCAAAGGCTGAACCTTGCAACACAAGATACAAAACAGACCATTGTGCAAAACAGTAGAGTAAGATAGATGGAGAGCGCCTCACTAATCCACAGATTAATCATGTGTTCAGACACAACTGACTGTTAAGGGTAATTAGCCTGGCTTCTGATTGTACAGACAGACACACACACACACATGTACTTGCCTTATATCTGAATACACATCCTTTCCTTCTCACATCCCACAACTAGACAAGAAATAAAATAAAGACATGAATATTAATCTTTCAAGTAATACACAACGATATAGCAACATATATATATCAGTAAATGAGAGAGAATCAAATTCTTTCTATACAACTTTCAAGGCAAATGCATTTAACACACCTTAATATTGCTATCCACAGAGCCAGACGCCAGGTATTCTCCCATGGGGTGGAAGTCCAGACTGCAGATACTGGCTTTGTGCCCCATCAAAGTGCGCAGAACTTTATGTAAAACAAACAAACAAAAAAAAACACAACAACAACATTAATTCAGCTATAGATAAATATACTCTGAACAATTTGCTCAAAAAGTGTTTCTGGTCAGATGGCCCCTGCGTGTCCTCAAGGATCAGAGTGGAAGGATAACGACGGGACCTCTTCCACCAAACAGGTTCATTTAATCATCCCAAAAAGCGAGAGGAATGCTATTTAACTATATCTGTTTTTCTACATCTCTACAGCAAATGCTGGCCTGGTGCCCCATCAGTGTGCAGAACATCAATTCAGTTTATTTAATAAAGAAAGAAAAATAAAAAGAAGTAGGCAGACACATTTTTAACAATATCACAATGACTTATCAATTAAGATTGATTGGGTGAATCTCAAAGCCTGTCAAGTCAATTTCTGCCTCATTTTATCCTATAACTCTAAAGAAAGTTTTTCCATAAATAAAATGAAGTCTATATTTAGGACGATTACTATATTTTACAGACCCACTTTTAATTTTGCAGTTAGGTACACCCAATAAAAAGTCAGACCATAATTTCTTTCTCCTGATTTTTGAGATCAACTTGTGCGCCACATTTTCTTTACTGGTTTTAAGAGAATCACCCTGTTTCTTATTGTAGATTTTATGTCAACCAAAGTGCAAATCTGCAGCACAAACCACTTACTTTTAGCAGCCTCCAAATCCCAAAGCCGGAGAGAGCCGGACTGAGAACCGGCCACCACACGCTCTTCAGAACTGTTGAACTGGATACACTCCACAGGGCTGGTGTGGCCTGTCAGACTCTACAGAACAGACAAACACTGCATCAAATAGCTGAGACACACTTAATTCTCTCAACTAAACAAATAACAGAGAGGGTTTTACCATAATGCAGTTTGGTTTGCTGACAGCCCAGATATTGACTCTGCAGTCCTCGCCGCCAGTGGCCAGCAAACGACCAGACGATTTCCCCAACACCAGTGAAGACACATTGCTGGAGTGAGCCACGATCTCCTCTGAACAACACATATGACAAAAAAAAAGCCAGTCACATTTCCCACAACTGCAAATGAAGAACCTGACTATTTAAAACATTCTGCTGAGAACTCACGCAGCTTCCATGATGTTATAGTGGTGCTGGTGAGAGCCATCGTGATGATCGTGTGATCTCACCAACACCTATGTCAGGGATGCGACGGTATTACTTTATCTCCTCTGTCCATCTGTTAAAATGAAAGAATTTATTCAAAGACAGACAAACAGCAGAGTAAATATGCTGTGCATAACGATCACTCTAAACTTCAGGGCACACCACTTCGCCAAAAGGTGTCCCTTTTCAATCACTTTTGGATAGATCACATTCTGCTATGAGTTAGTGCATGAATACATCTTAAATTATAATTGTATTACGTCCAGTTGCCTGTGCCTATAGAGAACAACGTGCAAGAAACCCAAAATCTAAGAATTATTATTTTATTTACTGGCTTTTAAAACATGTCAGATTTGGGCTAACGCGGGTCAAATTTGATATAGATGCAAGACACAGATAAAAAGTTACTTTTTAAACCATTTCATGAACTTAAATGAACTTGAACTTGAACCCAAACTTCATTTTTTTTGTCCTCTTGAAAACATCTCAAAACATTTAATGAACGGCTCGGTTGTTCTTAACTTCATTTCATCTGAATATCAACATTTATGTAACTTTGTCGAAAGGTCTTTAAGGTTAACTGATATAATTTTGTGTATCTGGAAAATACTGATCTGGGACATTGTATTATGTTGAACATCAATGCTTTTGTGCCTATGCGTTAATGAATAATTTGTAAACACTAATGTTTTTTTGTGTGTGTATATATATATATATATATATATATATATATATATATATATATAAATATGCCGAGTAAATCGTTTTTATTTTTGGAGTGAAATAATAACATTAGACCTTTGGGGTAAGACTTGAGTATCATATCGTTACTAGTGCATTTTTTATTTAATTGAATTGAATACTTATTGCAATTCATTAGGTTACTCCGTTTCGTGAATCAGATTTCTGACATGGATATGCATTAAACCCTATAGGCTAATTAAGTAAACATTTAATTTTAAATCAGTGTTGCTATTATGATTTCTTTTATTTTAAATTATTTTATTATGCTATTATTTAATTATAATATCGGCAACTAAACATTAGTTTATTCTTGCCTGTGTGCAAGTCATAGAACAAAGTATGTCACAGAATAAATTTACATTTCAGACGATTCTCTTTCACTGGGTTTCTGCTTAGTCCTTGGTTATTCAGTTATTATTCAGTAAATTGTAAAATTACAAAGAAGATCAGCAAGGAGTGGCTTCAGGTCCCAGGTAGGGGGTCATGTTACTTACCCCCAATAGTAAATGCATATTGTTCTTTAGAGCTAATAACACCACTTAAAGCAGTTATTCGATGTAAAATCATGTTTATCATGACACAAGGCGTTTATGGACAAAGAGCAGCCATGTATCGCCGGTTCAAACTATGATCTTTCACGTGTGGCTGAAACCTAACCTTATTAGTCCAACAAAACATTTATGCACACACACATATTCCAACACTTACATAAAGTCCGAAACTGGTGAAAGACTAAATAAATCGTCGACGCATATCCAGTTGAAGTCGCTTGGCCACGCGAGTCTGTCTCAGTTAGCAGTTAGCAGTTGTAACTTATATGAAAATGACCAATTTATAAGTGATCAATCTACTTTCGACCATTATCTCTTTCTAACTCTGTTAAAAGCATTACTAAGCTATTCTAATAAACATAGTAGCAGGTTAGAGACTCGAATTTGTTTCTATTGGATAACTTTCCGCTAAGTTAGCTTCGCAACGTGGCTAACGAACTCCTCTGAACTGTAAACAAATAACGTTATCCAACATTTACCTGATTGTCTTATCTGTTCTGTGATGCTGTTAAAGTCCAGAAACCGTTGGCGTATATTTATGAGATGAAAGTTGACGATAACACACTAGTCCGACAAACATCGACCCACTTTATACACTTATATTTTGCTGTTGTCATGTTGTTTCTGATTGGTTGCTAACTAGCGGTAGCTTAGCAACAGTTCTCCTTACCTTCCTTCTGCTGGTGACGGTCAGTCTGGGTTAAACAGGGACTCGCATGGCTGCAGTCTGCCGACAGACAGACCGATCAGAACTAATGAGAAAAGGATTAGTTTAGGACAAGAAAAGGTCCGAGTGCGCGCATGCGCAGTGGAACTATGGCCACATTAATACAGTTGTTCTGCAGCAGCCTTCATTTAACACATATGATTTATTAAGTCATTTAGCAGAGAATCCAATCTGAAGGTCTGACAAGGAAAACATCCAAATTGTGCAGCACCAGGGGCTATCACGACGGAAAACAACTTCTTGCCAAATTCTCAATAGTTATCATCTAATATATTTCAGGTCTTTAAATACACTATTAAAAAGCTTGTGAGTTGAGTCAGGTGTGTTTGACATCCAAAGCATGTACTGCTGGGACGGCCCCCAGGAACACTGCCCAAAAAAAAACAATCCACTGTCTTTCGCTCATCCAGGACTGGGTCTGAATGAACCAGGAACTGAGAAATGATTATATAAATCTAAAAGATAATTTGCATCAATACATCATTTTATAACAGTTTATTTATAATCACTGGGTCTCCATAAATTTCAGCTGAAGCAACTTTTTTTTTTAACCAGGTTGTCAAGACACAGTTTATATCTTCAGTCCATTGAAATGTTAAATTGATGTTGGGCCAGTCAATACTGTGAGGTCATGCTTATTAAAAGTTATTCTTGATACTAACCCATCTAACTTTCATAAAGCAGTATAGTTCCATTTGAACAGTTAAAAATATGTAACCAGACAGTCCTTTGTTGCCACTCAAGGTCAATTATTTTTATCTTTATCTACTTTGCGTTCCATCAAGGCAGCACCAGGCTGCACCTATAACTTCACCGGAATACCACATATCAAAGATTACTACCTTTGATTCAGAATCAGCACATGATTTCCCCCATACTGAACAATCACAGCAATATTTTCTGAAAGGCCGAAGAGGGAATTCAAAAAGCTGAACTCAAGTGCTTTGTAACGTCATGTGGTTGGTGAAGCTCATACAGCCTCAGGTCTAAATTGCTGAGGTCAATGGGTCATGTAGCTGCACCTGTTGAAAAGTACTTATTTGCAACTGAAACTAATGATATGAAAGCTCACTATAGTAAGCAAAGGCATTTTGTGAGTTTCACTCACTTTATGAAAAAGATATATATATGTGGAGCCCCACTCAGAGGCATACTTGAGCTAGAGATTTTAAGATGGACATGAAGTGAGAGAAAGGAACCAAAGGGCTGAAAAGGACGGAGCAGCTGATGACACTTGAGAGAAAGTCAGACACTTTACAATGCCCATCTATTGTCTGGACTAACCTGTGATATCAAATATCTCAGAATAATTTAGATTGCATGTTCTTTGTAATTGTATAATACATGTAAAAAATGTAACACAGACAAGTCTAGAATCTCTTCATCTGTCGTCTTTCCTGTCGCCTCTGTTTCTTGTCATTCTTCTCGTTCTCTTCAGGGGCTGCCTGTGATTCAGCAGAAAACCAGGGGCCCAGGAAGTTCACCCACAATAAATGCAAAGCCCTTGCAGGTGCCTGGTGTGAAGAGAAAGAAAATAATATGGTTTCAGTAAAAACGCATTTGTGAAGCCTCAAAGATATCACAATCAGTGCAATTATGCAGTCTCACCAAGAGCCAGAAGTACCAGAAGTAAGATGACAGAGTGCTGAGGACCTGAACAATAGCAGTAAGAAGAATCACATCCTTCAGGTGTCTGCATGTTAATATAAACAAGTCAGGCATGGTCATGAGGAGTATTAATCATTGTCTGGAAATATATAACATATAAAAATGTACAGATTAAACATCCAACTCACTCTGCCATGCCCTGTTCCATATTAAGGTCAATCCCTCCATCCAGCAAGCTACCATCTTCAGCAAATGCAGGTTTGGCCATTGCTAACATAGATTTGTAGCTGCCAATGTAGACCGCCACTGCGAACAGGAGAAAGAACTGGTACAAAGGAGACAAAAAGAGAGGTGAATAATATTTACCAAAAGATTGGAAACCACCAAAAGATTATCATCTCACCAATTTATCACCCATATACAGTGGTCTACATAAAGCATAAGCAAAGCCCTAGAGGTGGACAGATGGACACTATTGTCTTTTAAGGGTTTTTCAAACTGGGGTCTACAAACGAGTGCTAGAGGGGCCACAGAAAAGTTTAGAGAAAAGCAGTTGCAAAAGTGTATCAAACAAAAACAAACATAAATATAAAAAAACAAGACGCAAATAAACACATTTAAATAAGTAATACACCTTACATTACTGTATTATAGTGAGTAGGGAAAAGAACCAAAGACTTAAACTACTTCAGTCCGTGTGCACTGAATTTATTTAATACACGAGTTTCACAATTGGAGTTGAATTACTGGAAATAAATGAACTTTTCCACGACATTCTAATTTATTGAGATGCACCTGTATGGTGTCACAATTTAAAAAAAATTCTGCAGTACAAATTGGGACTTTATACATACAAAATACAGCTGCCTTATACATTTTAGAATGGGGGCCCCTCACATACAGATAATTACGGGGGGTCCATGACATCTAAAAGACTGAAAACCCCTGGTCTATTTGCCACGAGCAGATATGCATGCAACATCTGTAAGATTTGCTCACACACACACACACACACACACACACACCACTGAATGCAAAAGCACAAAATAGACAAATGCTAAATGATGATGCTCTTATTCACATCATACTCTGACTCACCCATGTCCAAAATGTAGACGAATTGTAAAAGAGCAAGAGATTGACTGCTACATAAATAGCCTGAAAAGAATACACCAAATAAATCAATTCAAAACAATTAAACCCATTTATAAAGGCACACTGAATCTCAGATGCGTGCCTTACGTTTGCTCCCAGGATGATTCTGCAATAGAACATGAGACTATTCTGGTTTTCGTCGTGAATTTGTTTTTTGCCTTTGGTTCCAACTTTTCCTTTCGGCTAAAGAGAGACATATTACTTAACAGAACAGCACTGACACGCAGAAAATCTCGCTAGTTAGAATAAACAGTTATCACATGAATACATTTAAAGACACACAGTTATTAATAATTTTTCTGTTTTAATAGCTATTCAATATTGTCTCATACCGCCATCTCCCCTGAGTTCTTCTTCTCGTGCCACTATTTCACCTGATAACGCCTTTCTCTTTAGGCATCTAAAAAACGAACGGATCTGATTATCTTTTAAAGAATAATCTTCAAAACCAAACACATAGTAAATAACACCTAAGCAAAAGAACACATCAGCGTTCGCGAGCACGTTTCCGGCGCTTAGAAAATGCGTCACAGATGCCAAAATAAATAAATTGGACTTGACGCCACCTCGTACAGGAGTACAGCGACTAATTTAAAGCTCTTCGTTTTGATTAAACTTGTCTGTACAGTATTCAACGTTTAGATTATTGAGAGCACATAAAAACGTAACAAGAGCTCATATCAACCGAGTCTATGCATTTTACACTATTAGACCTTAAATGGGTTTTAGTCTTCCTCTAAAACAGCTCAACAGATACCAGAAGTATTTTAGGGTACAACAGTACTAAAGGCCCCTCGGGGTGAAGAAAACCCCCCAAACACACGAACACTTGTTTGTCATTATCACTATATATTGCATAATTGTTCTTATCCAAGAGGTCATTTACCAGATATCTAAAGAAAATTGCTTTTGAGGTTAGTTTTTAAAAGTTTAACTGTTTTAAAACCTTTATAATTAACAAGCGAGAATTTTTTAGATGATTGCATATATCTTAACACAAAAGACTTGATATATGATTAAATAGCCTAAATAATTTTTCAAGTCACTGCCCAGTAAAGGGTTTTTGAGGTAAAAAAGGAAAAAGAAAAAAGTCCCCATGCCGAGGGACATAACATCTCCCCAAGTTAAGCCAAAGACCAAAAGCAAAGTCTACAAACAATTTGTTGTGAACAATGAACAAAGTGGGCCTACATTGACTCACAACTCAGTATATAGTGTTCAGTTGCAGTTTTCATTTGTTAAATATGCCTACTCTGAAAAATGTTGTCAGTTCATTTCAGAATATCTGATGCTAAAATACGAACATTGCCTTGATCCCATTTTAACAGAGGTTGTGCCTCAGCTGGAGTAGGTACAGGATAAAACTGGAAAGATACCGATTAAACATAATTTCATTTTCAGTACTATGAAAATACAATTCACTTTAAACTCTCTTGTGCATTTTTAAGAGCACATCTGATCATAAAGCCTCACATGTGAAGCATTATCCACCACCTTATAAAACACTAAAACAAGTCAACACGCATATATTTCTTCATATATTATAAGAAACTACAGTAGACTATAAATACAGCTTAGTTTTGGTCACCATAATATTTTGCATTATTTATATTTAAACAAAAAAATTGTTAATGCTACACAAACTTGGACAGTGTCATTATGCATGTTTACATAATGAATCTTTAGGAACAGCTTTATCAAGAGTACATGGTGACATTGACCTCTGGTGGAAGTATCATTACCTTGTCATCCATATTGTTAATTATAGCTTACCTTTTCACCTAAATAGTCAGCGTTTTCCAATTCCAGTTCAAGGAAGGAATCTTTAGGAACAGCTTTATCAAGAGTACATGGTGACATTGACCTCTGGTGGAAGTATCATTGACAAGTACCTTGTCATCCATATTGTTAATTATAGCTTACCTTTTCACCTAAATAGTCAGCGTTTTCCAATTCCAGTTCAAGGAAATTTAAAAAGTTCAGCAGAGTTTAAAGAAGGGGTTTTGTGAGCATGCGTATCAGTTCTCTGTCTGCATTAAATAGCAGGTTTCAGACGGGCCGTCCAGTAGATCAGTAACCATGTTGACCGCACTTGTTCTGTTGTGTCTCGGAGCCTTTCTTCTGTGCTTGCAGTTTAGAATTCGGCGACCCAAAAACTTCCCCCCTGGACCCACTCCTGTTCTGTTTTTTGGAAATTTGCTTCAACTGGACCGCACAAACCCATTAAAGGACTTTGACAAGGTAAGCACATCAGTCTCAAACACACACTGGAGACTGCTGCATTAAAAATACATTATTTTTATTGGTAGGAAATTCACACTGAAATAATTGAATGGGTTACTGGAAACAAGTGATGAAAGTAAATCAGACTTCTTTCACAAAGTATGACAGCAAAAACATGCTGATGTGAGTCTGTGGTCTTCAACATGAATGTTTTTGTGCAGTTTGCTCAGCGCTATGGGTCAATCTACGGGCTGTTCATTGGTAGCCAGCCAGCCGTGGTGTTGACAGGTCAGAAAATGATCAGACAGGCACTGATCACACAAGCGGCGGAGTTTGCTGGCAGATCAGACAACATGATGGTCAGCCATGTAACAAGTAACAAAGGTAATGCAGCCAGCTACTCATATACTGTAAACAAAATGCAGCCAGCTACTCATATACTGTAAGTGCACTCAGCAGAGAATTTAATCAAAACTCTCCCTGCTGGGCTTAAAGGCTTCCTAACTGGTTACTTTGTTTGTTTAGGGGTGATCATGGCAAATTATGGAGAAAGTTGGCGAGAACATCGACGCTTTGCTCTAACCACACTGAGGAACTTTGGCCTTGGAAAGAGAAGTATGGAGCAGAGGATTCTCGAGGAGGTCAAATATATCTGCTCACATTTGGAGGAATCTGCTGGTACATCTGTGACACCTTTACTCTCTAGATCAACATAGTTCATTTATGCAATCACATGTTCAGAGTCTAATGTTTAAATATAAACATTTTAATGACCTTAACAAAATATGCCAGAAAATATTCAAATTCAAGAATGGAAAACATCTCTTTTATCTCTACATCCCTACCAGGAAAGTCAACTGACCCTGAACATCTGTACCACCAAGCTGCTTCAAACATCATTGCCTCAATCATTTTTGGGTCTCGATTCACTTATAAGGATGAATATTTCCAGACATTGATCACAAACATTGAAAAACTCACTAAGATTGTCATTGGACAATGGGCAATGGTAAATACAATAACAAGTAAAGACACTGTTTATTTACACTGAATGCAAATAGCCAGCCTTGTTGCTAAAGGCTATTTACACAAACTCTGCCCACCGTATTACTTCTATTTACATTTTGTGTAAACAAGATGTTTTTTATACTGTAACTGCTATTTATACTTTTATTTGTTTACACATACAGTATTGCTGCTGCCAAAAATAAATGATACAATTAGAGATTGTAGTTTGTGCACAAATGTATAGAATGTTGACAGACATTTAATTGGACATTTTAAAAGTATTTTCTTTTGAATTGCAGCTCTACGAAATAGCCCCAGTGTTAAGGATTTTCCGACTGCCATTCTGCAAGGCTTTTCATTATTTTGCGGGAATTGAAAATCACATTCTTAAAGTTGTGAATGAGCACAAGAAGTCACGTGTTACTGGGGAGCCCAGAGACCTGATTGACTGTTACCTGGAGGAGATGGAGAAAGTAAGATATACCCTTAAGTGTTTGTGTGTGTTATGAATTTATCAGCACAATATCAGTTTAATATTCTTTGCTTTACAATGATTTGTAAGTGGGTTGTTTTGTTTTCAGAGAGCAGATCAACGCACCACATTTGACGATTCACAGATGGTCACTTTGCTGTTTGACCTGTTTGTGGCTGGAACTGAAACAACCTCAAACACACTCCGCACTTTAACCCTCTATTTGATGACCCACACTCATATACAGGGTAAGGAATGTGGGTAAGATGTGTCGAACCTCTTTATCTTCCTCCCTCTTATTGAGTTTTTGTACTAAAAACTTTTTCACATTTTAAAGTAAATTATTTACATGCCTAAAGTTTATCTCAAAAAAAGAAGAAAAAAGAAAGGAATGTCCTGCTTTTATTTCCAAACGTGTAAATATTTGTATGAACAAGATCTAACAACTGAGACATAAACTGAACAAGGCATTTGATGAACAGAAATAGAATAATGAGTCAACATAATTCCATTTCTGGAGCAAAGAGAGGGACAGTATCAAAAGTAAGTAAAGATCCAATAAAGATCTGCCATGCTTATTTGGATTTTACAAAATTATCTTTAAAATAGTTTAGCCAAAAATACATTTTCACAAAATTATACCTGTGGGGTAATGCGTGTTTGGTTGTTTATGGATTATGAATTATGGGTCATGGATTTCCTTATGGATTATCCTTTGATAAATACAGTTTAGGTTCTGGAATGGGATAACGCATTATTAATTAAATGCTTTTATGTTCATATTTTAGTTTTGTGAATTGTTCATAGCATTTAGTCTTTCTTTGTGTGCTTGTGTCTTTTAATGTCTATTTAAATACATTTTCAGAACAATGTCAGCGGGAGATTGATGAAGTCCTTGGTGATCGTGAACATGTCACATTTGAGGACAGAAATGCCATGCCTTATGTTCAAGCAGTGATTCATGAGGGTCAGCGTGTTGCTGACATTGTTCCTCTTAGTATGTTTCACACTGCCACAACCAATGCTCAGCTCTGGGGCTACAACATCCCAAAGGTGACATTTACGAGGATTTATGTATGGCAACAACTTTCTTTTTATCGTAGTTGTAGAGTTACTCTGGCACAAATAAAAAATGACATAAAAGAAAGAGTAACTAAGAGAACAACAACTATCCATTATTTAATTTATTTAAATCAATCCATAACAGATTATTATTGAAACCCCTAAACAGCAAGGGAGGATTGTTAATTTTGTTAAAAACATTTGCTCCTACAGGGGACAATTATCATCCCCTATCTTTCATCTGCTCTCAGAGAGGAAAGTCAGTGGAAGTTTCCCCATGAATTCAACCCTCAAAACTTCTTGAATGATAAGGGGGAGTTTGTGAAGCCCGATGCATTCATGCCTTTCTCTGCAGGTATGTTCTTCAGTGTGATGAGGTCTTTAAATGATAAAACAGTGGATATCCATCAATAGCTCTCATTTATCCTAGTGCTGGAAGTCCCCGAGCTGTACAAATTCACATATTACACAGAGACATTAGTATGACTACAATACATACATAAAATCAGTAGAAAGTGCATCTGTGTTTTAGAATGAGAACAACAGTGTGTTGGTATAATGTACATTTACTTTGTTTTCTAGGATCTCGTGTCTGTTTAGGAGAAAATCTAGCTCGCATGGAGCTCTTCCTCATCCTGGTCACGGTGCTGCGGCGATTCCGTCTGGTCAGGCCAGAGGATGCAGGAGAACCGGACTTCAAATTTATATATGGTGGGACACAGTCAGTGAAACCTTACCATCTGACTGTACAACTACGTACACCTGGGCAGACTTGTAAATCTGTTTACTGAACATATGTCGCCCTTCAGTGACAACATGCCCCAATAGTGGGTTGTGTTGTCACACTATAGATCACACAGGGTAAATTATGACAATGGCATCTGTTTCTGTTCTATTAAACATAGTAATTGTTAACGTTTCAGCAAAAGTGAAACAATAATGACGCACAAGACATTAAATATGCAAGTAAATTAAGCTGTATAAAATTACAACCTATAACGCACAAGTAAAAACACGCACAATAAAAAAAATATATACCTCTGTACTAATTAAACTCAATGGGGTTGTGTGTTTGCTTATTTACTGAACATCTAGCACAAAATAAATTAACGGTTTAAAACCAAAATACAAAATCACTGCAAGGCCATTTAATTACTGATACTGTAGCTCTTGTGCCAACAAGCCCAAATCTCTTATGCATGTTAATGGTGAAACTTTGATCACAACACTTGGAAGCTTTATTGCATTTTTTTTAACAATTACTTACAACTGTTCAGCAGAACTATAGTGTAATCATAGTGGTTTAACCATTTTTAGTTTTTAAACCATTTTAATACAATAAAAATGTAATACTACTTACAATATTGCAAGCTGATAGAAAGTTCGGCATTCACACCGAGTGTATAGCTATACTACATTCACACCGAGTGTATAGCTATACTACATTCACACCGAGTGTATAGCTATACTACATTCACACCGAGTGTATAGCTATACTACATTCACACCGAGTGTATAGCTATACTACATTCACACCGAGTGTATAGCTATACTACATTCACACCGAGTGTATAGCTATACTACATTCACACCGAGTGTATAGCTATACTACATTCACACCGAGTGTATAGCTATACTACATTCACACCGAGTGTATAGCTATACTACATTCACACCGAGTGTATAGCTATACTACATTCACACCGAGTGTATAGCTATACTACATTCACACCGAGTGTATAGCTATACTACATTCACACCGAGTGTATAGCTATACTACATTCACACCGAGTGTAGTAATTTGTGCTTATTAGTACGGTTGAACTGGATCATCGAAGGTCAGAAGCAAAGACATTGGTTAATAGAATGGGATTAAATACATAAATTATATTTGTGTAGTTTAACATTTCATTATTGCAGGTTTGCGTCATTCTGAGTTGCATTATTTTTATTCATTTTGAGGAATACTGAATCGGTGTTGTTGTTTTTTTTGTGAGTGAGATGAATTAATGCATATTCATATTTATTTTATAACTACAGTAACATCTGATTTCTCTCAACATGGGGACAGGAGAGCTGTCAATCAATAAATTGGAAAAAAAAGTAACTTGCGTTACTTATCTGAAAAAGTAACTCAGATATTCTCTTGTAAATTAAAAAGTAATGTGTTACTTTACTAGTTACTTGAAAAAAGTAATCGGATTACGTAACTCGGGTTACTTGTAATGAGTTACCCCCAACACTGCAGATATCTTACCAGAAAAGGACTTTGGTAGAAGTTGAAGTCACCGTTTAGAATATTACTTGAGTAAAAGTCTTAAAGTATGTGGTATTTATTGTACTTAAGAACGAAAAGTCTTTTTTAAATCTTAAACGTACTTAAGAATTGAAAGTAAAAGTACAAGTAAATGCAAAATGGAAAAGCAAATAAATATATATAAAAATGTTCATACACAGCTTGAGTAGCAAGATTGTGTTCAGTTTTAACTCTCTTCCATTTTGTATTTTTGGGAAAGAATACGAAGCACTTCATCCGGTACTTTCATTCCAACATAAAACATTTCTGGAATCTGCATCTGAAATAGCATTTAGATGTATTCACACAGTTTATGTATCTCAGAGGGGGCATGGATGCGGTTAAACTGCAGTTACAGATGCATAAATAGGCCTAATGTTTTGTTTTTAACATAAAACGTTGAATACTGATATCTGAAATAATTTAAAACATGAAAAAAATAGTCGAAATGTGAAATTAAAACCGCCAGTAGTAGGTGACAGCAAGTGACTGTTAATGAGTGAGTCAACCGATTCATTCAAACGACTGATTCATTCAGAAACAAAGCATTTGACTGTGCTCATGAGTGAATCACTGAATCATTTATTCAACCGATTCGTTCAAAAAGCTGTGAAAACAGTGCTGTGATCTTGTTTGGAAAATTGAGCAAAACAAGCAATATTATGTCTAAAATATAAGTGCTTTACTGAACTTGTATAAAATGATTATTAAATGTGTTCATGCTGCTATCTGCAGAAAAACTGTACTCTTTGTGTGATATAGATCTATATCTATATGTTAACTATATTAAATTATATAAATAGCATACAGAAACATTTTTGCCGTCTACAATTTAGAATGCCTTGAATTTTGAGTTTTAAATCAACGTGTGTGCAACTCTGTGCGTGATTTGGTGATATAGCCTACTTGATAATTATCACAGACGATGCTGTATCACACACACCAGACTCGACTTGAGTGGAAAATGAATCATCCGTGGTTGTGCATGCACTTGTTTGCACATGAGCATGAGTATTGATATACACAGACAAATTAAACTAAAAACAGCTTTTTATTTCTTGGTTTATACTGATTCCATTTGAAAATAATAACTTAAAATTCTAGCTTTCTTGGGTTGAATTTCCACATACCTGAAGGACTATCTTAGAACAAAGGGAGTGTTACATGCTCATCCATATAATCCTTATTAAAGGATTTGACAATCAGATAGGATTGTAAACCATTTATAACAATAGATCAAGATAATTAAAAATAGTATAACTTTGTTTCAGTGTTGAGTGTATCAAGGGTAGGAAGAAAATGAAGACTATAAATATATTTGTCCTCAGTTCTTACAAAAGACCATCTCACCAGTAACCCACGATTTAAGGACAATGATCGTTTTAAAACCATGATATCCACTAATACGGTTAAAAAAAAAAAAAAAAAGTGTATCACAATAGATCAAGATAATTAAAAATAGTATAACTTTGTTTCAGTGTTGAGTGTATCAAGGGTAGGAAGAAAATGAAGACTATAAATATATTTGTCCTCAGTTCTTACAAAAGACCATCTCACCAGTAACCCACGATTTAAGGACAATGATCGTTTTAAAACCATGATATCCACTAATACGGTTAAAAAAAAAAAAAAAAAAGTGTATCTATAATTGGGATTATATGATTTTGTTATGAGCAACATGACTATGAAAACCACCCCTAGTGTTCAAGGGAAAATTGATTAAAAAAAAGATTTAAACAATTTAAACAAAACAATAAAAAGCATATAAAAATTCCCAAACATATGCAAACACACAAAAGTTCCTGAGAAAATGAATGTGCAACTTCATGTCACATTTCAACAGTTTCACTTAAAATCACACTCTTAAAATCCATTCCAGACCACTTCTAAAAAAAAATTAGATTTGTTGACTTAAGACCTGGTCTGGAGGAAGTTCAATAAGGCTTATTGGACAGGAAACTCTGTAGCATCTGGAGAGATGGACCAGGAGCCCACTGAGGAACCATGTGACCTGCACCCTGGAAGAGCAGAGTTGTATGTCATGCTTTAGTACATGTAAGCTTTCACCATTTAGCCAGAATGTCTAACTGATCAGAGCCAGTCATATGAATCTCTATTAGACGCAAACAGCAGCTGCACATCAATAGATCTCATGGAGGCTGTAACAAAGAAAAGTATAACTACACCTTGGAAAAGTGCAAAACAGGTTACATGGATGCCTGAAACGTACCTTGACTGTGAGGAAAGTGATGTTGCCAAATTGCTGGTAGAATCCAGCAATCTGTTTCTCATAAATCCAGGGTTGGTATTGTGTGCTCGCCTTGAAGAAGAAGAAAAACCCAACATTAAACTTAGAAGGTGCTATAAATTCTGCAGAACATCACATCTCACAGAACATACAGTAGATCTTACTTTCTGTCCAAGCTGCTCAACAAACCACTGGTCCCCAAGAAAGTTACAAGCCATATCGGTATCTCCATTATAGACCAACGCTCTCAGACCCAAAGCCAGCAGCTTCTCATAGACATCCTTCACAGTTTCGTAAATGGTGTGATACTGTCTTCCCACAGCATCGCTGCATAAAAAGGAAGAACTCAGGAAGAGCTACACACGTGTTCACGAACTCACACACGCGTTCGCGTTCGCGCACACACACACAGTAAGTGAGGACAGGTATCCGTTTACCTGCATATGTCCCATGGTGGTAGTACATCAGGAATGTGCAGCGCCTTCCTCACATCTCCTCGGTTAAGCCAGTTCATCTGAGCAGTACTGTTGATGCATGGAGGCACTCCCTGAACATTTGGAGTATTTCCTACTGACTGAACAAACAAAAGAAAGTACATTTCCCCTTTGTTCTATCAAGTTTATCAAAGTGGATTGGAAGGCTGCATGATTAGATCGAACAAGACTCACCTTATTAGCTTCCCAATGCTTCCTGAAGTTTCTGAAAAGATGCATCATGGCTCTCTGAGATGTGATGCCTCCAGCACAGTCAAGATACAGCGCATATGTATTCAACCCAGAGTTATAGACTATATTAAATGCATGTGACACCTGCAACAGACAAAAGTCTAGTCACCTTAAATAATGGCAAGGCTGTACATGAGTTGCAAGCACGTGTGGATGCATTCAAGTTACCATATCCGAGCAGGACTCTTTAGAATTGTTGTAGAAATTACAGACTCCATTTTGACAGCAGTTGTCATTCAGATCCTTCCACAGCCTTCAAGCAAAATAGTGTTTGAAAACAAAAAAACATTTATCAAAATATTCATTGTCAGTATTGCAATAAACATAAACATGAGTGGCCAGTAAGTGATTTAGCTTACTGTTCTCCAAACAGGCCATGATAGTTGCCAAAGTAGATTAGTGATTGGTCATTTAGTGCAAAGCTACTAATGCCATTTCCCACAGCAAAGCCCTGCAAACATATAAGAGATACAACAGATCTTCAAATGTTAGTAAACAAGTACACAACATAAGTTACATTTTATACACTACATTTGAATAAATTACACTTTTAAAATGAAATGAGCATAATAAACCTACCTTAAAGTTCACTTTAAGTTGACCTCCAGTGGCAACTCTCAGACTGAGTGTTGGTGCGTAGATGCCTCCATAACTCTCACCAAAAATGAAAAACTCATTCTGGGTGAAATTTGGGAACTTGATGAAAAAACTTTGCAATGCCAGGTAGTTGTTATTTGCCACCTAAAGAAAATACACATTAAGGCTTTAAAAAGTCTGTCTTTATAGGCTACGAATGTCTATGAATGTTTGGACGCTTACCTCATCATCATCTGTTTGATATTTCTGGTCATCTGAATAGGAATAACCCACTCCAGCAGGCGATTCAAGATAAAGAACATTGGCGATTTTATTCCAGCTGAATTCGTTCTCATAAAGTGTGGCTCCATTATCATTGACCTAAGGACACACAGATCAAACACAATGTTTATTGAGATATTTATGCTTTTGTGTTGTACAGAAAAGCAATTTAGAACGTCAATGACTGAAATTACATGAATGTTTTTCACTCTCTAATCTCTTTTGTTCTTGGCTCTTTAAGATTAAACCAGCAATGCATTGTAAACACTTGTTATTCCTTTTTTTTTTTTTTTAAAGACAACCATCAACATACATGAAAGGGGCCATTCTCTGATAGAAACCCATCCAAAGAGCTGCATCCTGGCCCTCCATTCAGCCACAGCACGACTGGATCCTTGAGCGGGTCCCTCTGAGACGTGACAAACCTGTAACATATACACACTCTCTTTAATACAATAATGAATACACAAAACAATCATAATGTGTTACTGAAGAGACTCAAACTATAGTACATTCAAATGAGAGGAAGGTCTATTTACACAATACTGCTAGTACTCACAATAACTAATATATATATACAGTGTGTGTATATATATATATATACAGTGTGTGTGTATATGTGTATATATATATATATATATATATATACACACACACACACACACACACACACACACACAGTTTAACAATTACACATTAACAAAATGTAATACAACGCTATTCTAGACAAGAACCATACCATGGTATATGAATATTGTAATATACACTACAGTGTCATCACCAGTGTTGGGGGTAACTCATTACAAGTAACGTGAGTTACGTAATCAGATTACTTTTTTCAAGTAACTAGTAAAGTAACACATTGCTTTTTTAATTTACAAGAAAATATCTGAGTTACTTTTTCAAAAAAGTAATGCCAGTTACTTTGTTTTCCCCATGTATTGACTGACAGCTCTCCTGTCCCCATGTTGAGAGAAATCAGGAGTACAGAGGTGTTGTGTGCGCTGTGTGAACATGATGTAGTTCTAGACTAAATGCGAATGTGCATTAATTCATCCCACTCACAAAAAAACAGATTTAGTATTCAAAATGAATTCAAACAGTGAAATGCAAACTCAGAGTATGACGCAAACCTGCAATAATTAAATGTTAAATAACACAAATGTATTTAATCCCATTTTATTAACCAACGTCTTTGCTGCTGACCTTTGCTGATCCAGTTCAACCGTACTAATAAGCACAAATGACTTTAGAGAAACTAACAATTGTGCTTCATTGTTTTTTTTATTGCTGAAGAGTGTTTCTTCTCCTGCGTTCTACTGTACAGACGGGAATTTACTTTTGCTTCAGCCTGAGGTTTATTCATTACACTTTTTGTTGTTAAAGGGCTTTTATATTTGCTAGAAATAGAACTTCTTATATTAAAAACAATCAAGCCCTGCTTACATTTAAAAAGTAACGCAAAAGTAACGAGAAAGTAATGTAACGCATTACTTTCCATAAAAAGTAACTAATTACCGTAATTAGTTACTTTTTTTAAGGGAGTAACGCAATATTGTAACGCATTACTTTCCATAAAAAGTAACTAATTACCGTAATTAGTTACTTTTTTTAAGGGAGTAACGCAATATTGTAATGCATTACTTTTAAAAGTAACTTTCCCCAACACGGATCACAACAATACCTCACAGGACTATGATGACGTCGCCAAAATAAAAAAACATACAAAAAAATGATTATTTAAATAACTTTAAATATAAAATAAATAAATAAAAGGATTAAAATGTCGCATGTTGGATTTAAAACGTCTTCGTTTTTCATTCGGCGTGAATGCGGAAACGCCATTTGCCTAAATAGTAACGTTATCCTCCTCACAAACAATACATGCTGCATATTCTCATGCTGATAACTCACCAATAATGCAAAAACTTGCCAGAACTGGCCTTTAGATAGCCTGACCACTGGCGGTAATTGGGTTTGAAAGACATGCCCGGCAGATCCAGCACCTCATCTGGATCATACACGCCGCTCGCGACATGCTCAGACACGGACAGAAGACAGAAGAAGACACGCAGAGAAAACATTTCACACAGCCTGATGGACATGAACCTGTACACACGGCTTGAAGACTCCAGCGACCCTAGGGTTCGCGTTGCCCTTTCTCTGCCTGTCATATGACTTTAACAGTCGTCAGGTGATGCGGACAAACTAGCCTCCGCCCATCTAACCAGACTCTCTCTCGCTGTATGCGTGTCACCTTCTTGTTCTGCTTTTCCTTCAGATGATTATTATAATCAGATTAAGGATCATCATAGCAGATTCATTCAAATGACTTTGCTGGATCAGCTAGGTAGGAAAAATACAGAAGAGCAAATGTAGACCTATGCATAAAATAGAATTGGTTTTTAAATTAACTTTAACAAATGCTCGAAAGTGCAGACAGACTGCAATATCTAACCCTCATTAACAAAACCAGAGATTTGAAAAAGATTTATGCTGAAAAATAAATTAGACCTCTTTTACAGATATGTTAAACACATTTTAAAATTCCTTTCAAATTTGCTACATTTTAAAGAATTGTTATAGAATAATATTGATTGATGTACTCGTAGCTTAAAACAGTACTTTAATTGCAGATATGTTACTGCATTTATCCAAAACATGCAAATGAAAAGGGACAGGTATCAGTATGCATGATGGCTTCTTCATACACAGCATGTTTTTAATTGTTATATTCTTATCAAAGGTTTACTGTTTTAATTCAATAAAACCTGAATTGTTTTTTTAAATAGACCTTCCTTTCAAATCCCAATGCATTTCCAAAGAAATCATCTGTTAATTAAGTGCAGTACACTTTTTGTCAACGGCAATGTTTAAATTGCTTTTTCAATACAATATTGTATAGTTGAACAAGATGAACAATATTTAGAATTCATACAGCCAAACTGACCAAGCATGACTGGATAGGATACTTACACCAAAAAGTCTTTCAGACATTTTTACAGCTTGGTAGTTGGATGAATTCGGTTCCTAATAAAGTCATCAGTAAAACACAATAAATCTAATTCATCCTCAAGAAGTGCTGCAGAAGATATTTGGAAAAACCCATCATGCCCTTGGCCTAAATGACAAGCATGAGTCTTTAGGTGTACTTAATGTTACTACTTTAAACCTATCCTTCATTTTGTGGCCAACCATTTACTTTTTCTGTGTATTTAAATATTTTTATTCTTTTTAAGTTGCATGCATGAGAGTTTAACTGCATCTTGCAGTTGAAGAACAAAAAAAAAAAGGTTGACAATGGAGCACCAAAGCAGTTTGCTGATTTCTCAGGGAACATCCCTTTAGTGATTGCACTGAAACAGTAAAACATACAATAATACACGATTGTGCAAAAGCAAACATGCATCTAGTGTTACTGATTAAATCCATGAGGAATTTTCATATGTAGGCATTATTGAGAATTGGAGCGTGTGGTACAAAAAGGGGTTACCAGCACACCACAACTGTGACTTGCACAATTAAACTGTTAGGAGAATGGTTTAATGGAACCAATAAATTCTCATTCTCACACTTCAGTACCAGAATTTCTCCCCTAAAACTAAATAAACACAAAATAATTATTGAGTTTTCAGTTAACCATCTCACTCACTCAAGTACCAGTGAACTAATAAAATCAGAGATAATTGCACCCTTGGCCTAAGCAACAATTTCATGAAAAACACATTCAGAAGATGTGGCTAAAACAACAATGCATTAAATGAAAATAAAAACCATTCATCAAGTATTTTTTGAAATACAGTTTAAATAATGATCATTTTATGTCACTTCTGATCTAAAGTCACACTCTCTCACACACACACACAAGATCTTATGGAACTGTAGAATTACATGTTTAGCAGTGCAAGTCATCAAGAAAAAAAGTTTGCAATAAGATTCTAAGGGTAAACATTATGAACACTGACCACATTTGCAATGTCAAGCATATAAGGCCTTCATAAAATCAGTTTCTTAAAAAAAACATAAAAATTAAAAAAGAGAATGGACAAAAAACAATTACATTTCAAAAGAAAGAGGCTATATTTGGAAGATCTAACACTGGAGGATTTAACACAATGTCCATATCCATTCAGAAAATAGTGACGTATAGTGTCCTTCACAGGGGTCCTCCATTCACAAACAGCCAGAGCAGAGAGCTTGATGCTGCATGCAGGTGGATGATCCACTACATCAAGAGGTACAAACTTCTGTGGGACTGCTGCACTTTACAATAGGAGAAATTTGCAACAGTCTCCTGAAGACTGGATAGAGGTCAGTGGTAGACGTGATTTGGACAGGCTTCTTTCCCTTGTTTTTAATTGGTCTCTATTGGTTCACAGCCCAATATTCATGAGGTCACAACAACTCGTCTATGGGCTGCTGGGATGATTGATGATATCTTGGTAGATGGCCTTTGTGGTCGTCTGGCCAAAGATGAAAGCACCAATCGTAACCATAACAACCCCATAGGCCACCATTCCCTTCCAACTATAGAGAAATAAATAGGTCATCAGTTTTATCTTTGAATACACAAGTCTTTAGGCATTGCTGAATATTGTTTATAAAGATAATTCACCCAAAAATGACAATTTTGTCACCCTTTACTCACCTTCACATCATTCCTAACCCATAAGACTTTCTTTCATCCTCGAAACACAAGTGAAGATATTTTTAATGAAACCTGAGCGACTGCTGTCCCTCCATTGAAAGTCCATTCCACCAAAACTGACACTTCAAAAAGTTCATGTAAATGTAACCCATGTGAATCAAGCAGTTTAATCCAAGGCTTCTGACTGCTATATATAATAAACCAATTTCGTTTAGGCTTTTGTTCACTTATTACTATTGATCAAAACACATACAGCAGAAGCTCAAACGTCAATCGTACGACCAACAGCATTGATGTGCTGTATGTATATGCGTTGTTCAATATGTGTAGATGTTTGTAAGCCTAAATTAATTGTTTATCTTAAAAAAAGATGGAGTCTCTTCAGAAGAGTTGCTTTATTAAAGTGAAATCGTTTTTTTTTTTTAACAATGTCTTTTACAGTAACTTTTTGAAGCATCATTTGGTGAAATGATCTTAAAGACAGAAATCTCTCAAGTTTCATTAACAATTTCTTCCTTTGCATTTTGGACATGACCAAATGTATCTTATAAGTTTAAAATGACATGAGGGTGATTCATTAATGATTATTTTTTGGGTGAACTTTCCCTTTAATAAGTAATAAATGAGTTTACCTGGTTGATCTGACATCATGCTCTGAAAGCTTTGCCTGAATCAAGCACAACCCTATAGACAAGCATTAGAAGAATAAATGCAGTCACTGTTTGTAAAAACACTGACGTGATAGAAGCAAAAAGTAAAGTCTAAGAACAATTTAACTGTAATACCTGGAAACACAAAAATGAAGCATGCAGCCAAACCACCAATTAGTGAAATCACTCGTCCGATATCAGGAATGAAGAGAGCAAGAATTAATGTGAGACAAAACCAGACGACTGTCTGCAGTATTCTCCGTCTCCGTTCCCTGGCCACATCTGTCTCCACCTCCTCTCCTTTAAAACGCAACCACAAACCTTCCAGCACTGCCCTAAAGCACAAACAAATACACATACTTTCTTTAGATTTGACAATAAATGTGTCTTTCATAGACACACACCTATAGACCATAAAGCCTGTTACCTTCCACAGAAGTGCAGGATTGGATATGAGGTAACAACACAGATGATGATGAAGGCTCGAGCAATGGCCACCGCAATGTCATCAGATGGATATGACATCAAAACATCCTGGCTTACGCTTGAGCCAAATGACAGGAAGCCACAGACACCTGCGGAGAAAAAACAAGCCCAAACATTCCACAATCAGTTCATATTGGCATGAATGCTGCAGTCTGCTTTATCATTAGAATATTTCAGCAAATTCAAAATATGCACACCTGTGCCTGTATACACAAAGAGGCAGATGATCACGCTGACTGTAACAACTGCCCACCAGGGCCGGATTTCTGGCTTCTTCATGCTGTTGAAAACTGGAACGCTACTGACATGACACTGGGAAAACGAAAGTGAGGAGAATGATCGAGTTCGATCTAGCAAGATTTCAAAAGTAGTGAATTCAGACATGTCCTTGGCTAAGAAAGATATGCTACTTTTATGAATACTTTCATACAAGGATGCATCAGATTAGTCAAATGTGCCATTACAGACATTAATAACATTACAAATGATTTCTATTTCACATGAATAGTAAAGTTCACACACCTGGAAACCAAAGCAGATTGTGGGCATGGCATTGAACACATCGGTCCAGGATGCAGGGCTGAAAGACAACAAACATCACATTACAGTAGTGATCACAATCTCTTCTGTAATGTGTAACTCAAATAACTTTTTAAAATGTACTTCTGACCTGACTGGGATGATTCCTGGAGAAACGTCTTTGTCGGGCCAGATGTATTTGACGATGATTATGATTGTCACATACCAGGTGCCGATAACACTCAGGGTGCTACAGATTAATCAGTACAAATGTGCATGTATGATTTAACCAGCAAATACTCAGAAACATCTTGGATAATCAAAAGTGCAATTTAAGCAAAAACATTTGCACTAGTCACAGCTGTGACATAACACTGCACTGCATAAAACAATAACTTAGTTAAACAATATAGGAAGAAAAACAAGACGTTTCTACCTGGCATACTTCTGGAAGCCAATCTCTTTGGGTATAGATAGAGGAAGTATGATCAGCACTGAGGTCAAAGTGATGGTGAACTTGCGATCTGTGTACCAGTGCGAACTAATCATCTTCTCCGACTCATGATTTATTGCGCCAATCACTGTAGGAAGAACGACAGGAAATGAGACTACTCTCTTTAGACTATTTTGACAT